AAGGTCATCCAGCCATGTGCAAGGTGAGGAGTGGGGAATCAAACCCGGTTCTCCCAGATTAGAGTTCGCGCACTTAACCACTACACCAAACTGGCTCAGCGGGAGGTATTTGTGAATTTCCTGCCTTGTGCAGGGGGTTGGACTAGATGGCCGTGGAGATCCCTTCCAGCACCATGATTCTGTGTTCTATGCCCTGCCCTTCTCCCCAGTGGGAGCCCAAAGCAGCCTACATCATTCTCCTTTCCCCCCATTTAAACCTCACAACAGTCGTGTATCTGAAGAAGTGAGCAGTGACTCATGAAAGTTCATCCCCTGCCACAAATTTTGTTTGTCTTTAAGGGGCTACTGGACTGTTGCTCTTTTTCTCTGCTGCAAACAGACTAACACGGCTATTTATCTTGATCTGTCATCATGTGTGAATGTGAGAGAGTAGCGTCATCTCTTATTGACCAGTTTGGTGTAGTGGTTAGGAGCTTGGCCTCTAATCTGGGAGAGCCGGATTTGATTCCCCACTCCTCCACATGCAGCTGCTGGTGTGACCTTGGGTCAGTTACAAATTCTTTCAGAGTTGTTCTCTCACGAGCAGTTCTCAAGAGAGCTCTCTCAGCCCCGCCTACCTCACAGGGTGTCTGTTGTGGGGAGGGGAAGGGAAAGGAGATTGTAAGCTGCTCTGAGACTCCTTCGGGTAGTGAAAGGCAGGATATAAATCCAATCTCTTCTTATATGGACACATTCTGGCAGATAAATGCTGTCTCTGTTTCAGTAACTTTTTAGAAGAGAAGAAGAGGAGATTGGATTTGTACCCCACCCTTCACTACCCAAAGGTGTCTCAGAGTGGCTCACAAACTCCTTTCCCTTCCCCTCCCCACAACAGACACCCTGTGAGGTAGGTGGGGGCTGAGAGAGCTCTGACAGAAACTGCTCTTTTTTCAAGAACAGCTTTTATCAGAACTATGGCTTGCCCAAGGTCATCCAGCCAGGTGCAAGTGGGGGAATCAAACCCGGTTCTCCCAGATTAGAGTCAGTGCACTTAGCCACTACACCTTACTACCAAGTAAGGGCTTAATTGGGGAGAGTGCAGAAGGTGTTTCTTCTTCTGCAGCTTTCCTGCACTAAAAAGTTACCGGGGGGTGGGGTGGGGGGGTGTCGTCATGATGAGCCAAACCAGGTTTGGTGGTCGTGAATGATGTGAAAGTGAATGCCAAGGTCAGTCAAAGATACAGTCATGGTTTCATCCATGATCTTTTGTCTCATCAATTTCTAACACTGACCTGGAGGGCTCTGGCTAGTCCAAACTCATCAGATCTCAGAAGCTATGCAGGGGTCAGTCCTGGTTAATGTTTGGATGAACCTCCAAAGGAAGTTTAGAAAACTTCTTGAGGGCCAAAAGTTAAAAGTCTAAGTATACAAAAGAGTGTTTATTTCAAAGACATATAAAAACCTTGTAGGGGCGGGGCCCAAATAAAGCCTCATAAAATGTTCAAAGTTGCAAATACACACAAAAAAGGGACAGTGTATATGATCTGATATGTTTTGGCTCACAAGAGTCTTCTTCAGAGGTCAAATCGTACCAAATACGCCAAGCAACAGAGTCCGTGTAACACATGTAAGGCAATTAAGAATAAAGAATCCAGGACCAAAATTGGAATGTTCCAATATGGAATTGAATGCCTCGCCAAAAGGTTTCTATTTGGGGCCACAAATATATATGGCCTTGTGTCAGAAGTAGTTGTATGTACTGGAAATAATATGTACCTTCCAGTTTAGGTCGTATGGGTGCTAATAAAGCTGGCCTTGTGTCAGAAGTAGTTGTATGTACTGGAAATAATATGTACCTTCCAGTTTAGGTCCTATGGGTGCAAATAAAGCTGCCTTGTCAGACAATGTTCCATCAATATTCGGATGAGATACCACCAAGGAAGTCCAGGGTCATTACACAGAGGCAGGCAATGGCAAACCACCTCTGAATGTGTGTTGCCTTGAAAACCCTGTGGGGTCGCCATGAGTCAGCTGAGATTTGATGGCACTTTAAATGCACACCATAATTTCTAACCATTCCAGCAATGCGCTTTAGCTGACCTCACAGCGTAGAGGTGTACATATACTGACAGAACGAGGCTTCCACTTGATGGTCAAATCTTGGCGTGTGCATAAAAATCCATCACACTTAAGCCTTGTGTGTGTTTTATCCCTTCCAAGGAGTTCAGGATGGTGCACATTTCCTTTCCCCATTTTACTTGCACAACGACCCTGTGAGGCAAGTGAGGTCAACCGTGTGATTAGCCCATAGTTCTCTAGTACATTTCATGGCACCGTGGGGAGGGATTTGAATCTGAGTCCTTGTCTGATAATGCTGACCACCCCCACCACACAGACTCTATAGAGATCCTAAACACAAGATTAGTTCTTGGGTTGGATATTTGACAGTAACAATGCTCCCTATAAGCTTGTGAGCAAACATTCTACTTTGTGAGCTGCTGGCACTGAAGTTGTGAACAAGCGATTTGGCTGGTGCATACATTAGTTTGCTCTGTAGCTCTCATTTCTGAGCCAAGACAAAAATGTGTGAGCCAGAGGCTAAAAAACTGTGAACTAGCTCACACTAACTCAGCTTATAGGGAACACTGGTGACCGTAGAGAGTGGACCTATGGAATTACGTCCCTACCTGCTGGGTGGTGGGTGGGTGCAGGCCACTAACTCGTGCCCCCTGAAACCATTATCCTTCAAAAATACAACCAAGTTTGAGTCCAGTGGAACCTTTGAGAACAACAAGTTTTAATTTGGGGTATAAGCTTTGCTGGTCTTAAAGACGCCACTGGACTCAAATTTTGTTATGTTGCCTCAGACCAATATGGCTAACCACCTGAAATCTATCATTTGAAGAGTTCCACCGG